GTGACATTCTTTGTTCACTCAACAAATTTGAGGACATGTTCATTTTCCTGACAGGTTTCAGTGGGTTTGAATGCAGTGGACAGTTTTGTGCTTACTTAACCAGGCAGGTACTTTTTTGTACTAGGTGAGAGGCAAAGCCATTGGTATAAATGTAATGAGAATCTATTTTGGGATATGAGCCCAGCAACATAGACAATTTTTATTAGTATTCATAAATATTTATGTTCCAATGTAATCATAACATTATATAGTATTTTACATAGATACTTAAAATTCACAAGAAGAATTAAAAAAAAAGCTTACCCTTTCCTCCTGGCAGCAAAGCAGTTGAAATGAAATAAAGAAAATACCATAAAACACTGCTTTGTTGTGGGCCCCCAGATGGTGAGACAATATGGTAGAATGGAATGTTGGATTTGGAATTAGAGGCAAACTTAGGCTCATTTGGGGGAGGAAAATACTTCCTATAGTGAGAATGGTCCCAAAGTAGAAGGAACCATGGTTTGGAAGCTCATGGTTTCCCCCCTACCACATAATTTTAAGCAGAGGTTAGATGATCACTCTTCAGGTATGCTAGCTGGCCAAAAAGGTCCCTTTAAATGCTAAACTTTTCTGATTCTGTGATCTGTATTCAAATCTTAGTTCTACTACTAGTAAATTCAGTTCAATTAAATAAACATTTGTTAAAAGCCTATTGCATTCAGGACTTGAGCCTCTCTCCACTGTGTTATATGTAGGTAAGTTCAGATGATGAGATGCCAATCTGTACCAGTAGAGGAAAATGCCACACTGGAAGTTTCTCACACTAGTAAAAGGTCTGCACCGTGAAAGAAAAGAAAATTGTGCAAGGTATTGGGGAAACAGAGAAAAATGTTTTAGTCCTCACCTTCAAGAAGATGTTCCACCTATATGAACCTGCTCTTTTAAGTGAGAATGCAGCATCCCCTCCCAGAGCACACTGGATGCTCTTCCTCCCTTGATGGACACTGATCCTTCTTACTACTGGCTTCTGGGTTCTCTGTTTGGGGAGGGATTCTCTCTGTACCCCTCCTCTCCCTTTCTAGCTTATATTCCCTTATATAAGCTGCCTTCCCTTATTAGACGGTAAGCCCCTTGAGGCCAGGGACCTGTCATTTTCCTTTCTTTCTATCCCCAGTGATTAGCGCAGTATCTTTGCCAAGAAAACTCCGAATGGGGTCACGAAGAGTTGAAAAACAACTCAACAATAACCAGAGAGTGAGAGAGGCCATTCAGTTCAGCCTGCTTGTTTTCCCCAAGTAGGATGCGGAGGGTGTAGGGTGAGGATCTTAGGACCATAAATACTGATCTGAAGGGACCTTTCTGAGAAACAGCATGGTGCAGGTCAGTGGGTGCTGGACTTGGAGCTAGGAAGGACTGGATTCGAATCCTGCCACAGGTAGGTGAGTGTCACGGAGGAAGTCATCTCACTTCTGTGACACTCAATTTCTTCACCTGTAAGAGAGGGATGTTTTATCTCACAGGCTTGTTGGGATATAGAGCATTCATTAAGCACTTACTGTGTGCCAGGAACTATGTGAAGTACTGTGGGTATAAATACAAGAAAACTACACAGTGCCTACCCTGGAGGAGCTTACATTCTACTTGTTATTGTTGAGTCTTTTCAGTCATGCCCCCAGTTTGGGGTTTCCTTGGCAAAGATGCTGGGGTGATTTGCCATTTCCTTCTCCAGCTCATTTTACAGGTGAGGAAACTGAGGCAAACAGGGTGAAGTGACTTGCCCAGGGTCACACAGCTAGTAAGTGTCTGAGGCCAGATTTGAACTCAGGTCTGCTTGACTCCAGGCCAGGCGCTCTGACCTTGGCACCACCTAACTGCCCCTGCATTCTATAAAGGAGAGCTAGAGGCTCAGATGGGATAACAGACGCAGAGGGCATTGGAAACCTTCTCCAGGCACATGTCAGTGTCAGCTGTCAGCATGAGTTTCCATATGAGAAGCGAAGCCTTGAAATAGGAAAGAGAAATGATTCCACCTCCCCGCCTGCCCTCCCCAGTCCAGCCCTTCTGAAGTTCAGTGAGGCCCCACCACCTGCCCCTTCACACCTCTCCTCAGTTGCCCTCCCTCCCTGCCGCATATGGGCCTCCCTTGCCCAGGAAGCTCAGCAGAAGATGCCTTTATCCCCCCAAGACTCTGACAGGCCTTTGTTTAGCCAACAGGGACCCTCGGAACAAGGAGACTTTGTAGGACTCATGGGCAGCTCTCAAGAACCTGCCACCCTGGGGCTGCATGGGGTCATCTGCCGAGCTGGCAGGCCCCCACCTCGAGGGCATGAATGAGCTCCCACAAGCCCCTGGGGCAGGGAGCACACAAACCTTTTGGGAGCCTTTGGGCCAGGGTCCCAGAAAAGGCATTCAGCTCTTGCTCCTCTGGAGCTGCGGTGGGGATAGGGGAGGGTTTCCCCCAACAAGTCCCCACTTGTTCTGAAGGCTCTGAAGGCATCCGGAGCCAAGGCCTAGGCCTGGTTTGCATTCCTGGCTCCTGGCCGTATGATCTCAGGAGCCCCAGCTGTGGCCTGAAAGCACTGTTTGACTCAGGAGCCAAGGCCACAAGTGGTGTGGGATGGCACAGAGTCCTTCCATTCAGGCCCGATGACAGGCCCTTGGCAGGGATGAACCTTTTGGGGGAAACCCAGTCTCAGCCCCAAGCTTGGGTCCCAAGGGCCTTCAAGGGGAGAGGAGAGCCCAGGGGCAGGAAGTGGAGCGAAAGCACCTGTGGAAGGTCACAGAAGCCAAACCTGTCTGTCGACGGGCTGGGTCTGTTTTTCATAGATTTGGGGCGATTTTTGATGAGTAGGTATTTATGATAGCAATGATCCTACTAACTGACCTTAACATAGGGCTTTCAAATTCACAAAGTATGTTACCAAAAAAAAAAATTTCATTTATGCCACACAGCAGAACCAGGAGGATGGTCTGATAAGTATTATCATCTCCCCTTTACGGCTAAGGAAACTGAGGCTGAGGAAATTGTGGGCATAGTTACACAGCTAGTAAATGTCAGGCCAGGATTCAAACTCAGGTCTTCTTGAATCCAAAATCTAGAGAACTAGAAGGAAAAAAGTCAAAATCATGTGGGAATAAGATGAGGTACTGGTCATTCCTAGTGCCCCGTGGAAGCAATGCTGAGGATGCTCAGGGGGCCTCCAGAGGCTGAGCTAACCTCAACGTGCTTTTATTCATTTGACCCATAGACTAGAATGGAGGAGGCTAGACAGTGCAGTGGGAAAGAATGCTGGGCCCAGGGTCCAGAAAAGCTGAGTTCAAATTCTGCTTTAACACTGACTAGTTCTGTGAGCCTCAGCTTGGCTGCTCTGTTTTCTCATCTATAAAATGGGAATCATAATGGTAGCACCCATCTTCCAGGGTTGTTGTGAATATCAAACGAGATCGTATCTATAGAGTGCTTTGTAAACCCTAAAGCATTATATAAATGCTAGTGATTATTAGTAATTAATATTTTAAAAAAGGAAATACTAGCAGAGGGGCAGCTAGGTGGTATGGTAGATAGAATGCCCGGCTTGGAGTCAGGAAGATCTGAATTCAAATCTAACCTCAAACACTTTCTAGCTATGTGACCCTGGGAAAGTTATTTAACCTTGTTTTCCCCAGTTTCTGCATCTGTAAAATAAGTTAGAGAAGGAAACGGAAAACTGCTCCGGTATCTTTGCCAAGCAAATCCCAAATGGGGTCATGAAAGACTGTTGAGCAATACCAACAAAATAATAGCAGTGAAATGACCGATGCTAGGATTGCTTCCATCTGAATTCCATAGAGCAAGATCGAAATGGGATGATACTGTGATAATAATAAAAATAAAATGTGAAAATGAGAATGTAATAATTACATATAGCGTTTTAAGGTTAACAGTATTTTCTTCACAACAACTCTGTGAGGATGGTACCATAAGGATTCTTATTCCCATTTTACAGATGAGAAAACTGAGGCTCAAAGAATTTTAGCGACTTTCCCCATTGTCCCAAGTCAGATTTGAATCCACTTCTTCCTGCATCCGGTACCTGAGCCTCCATATCTAGGACAAACAGAAATCTCCAACAGCCAGTGGGTAGGTATTCACTATGCATCCGCTATGTGCCAGGCATACAGTAGGCATTAGAGATACAAAGAAAGGTGAGGACAATCCTCGCCTTCGCAGGCTAACTGGGGAGGCATCAAGCAAAGGAACAGGTCCAGATGAGCTACACACAAGCACAACAAGCAGCAGAAGAAAATCCAAGGCACTCTAAGTAAGAAGGCATTGGAAAGGCTTCCAAGCTGGGGCTTGAAGGCGCCGGGGGAGCCTGGGCCTTCAGATTTCTCTGTCTCTGTCACAGGCCGGATTTGCAGACTGATAACCTAGCTGTTCCACTTACTCTTAGGGGTAGCCACTTAAATTTCCTGAGCCTCAGTTTCCTCATTCGTAAATATTGGGGTGGGGGGCCAGGGGGCTCCAAAGGCCCAGCTCTACATGTACAATCCTATCATGCCTCCTCAGCTCTTGGGGTCTCATCTGTACAGGGAGGGGTGGGTTGCCCAGGGTGGGTGGCCTCTCCTGGCCCCCCCCCCCCTCTCAGCCCCTCCTCCTGCAGCAGCCCGCAGCCTGGCTCTGGCCCAGGCCGGTGTTACTTAGTCAGCCTTGGCACCCTTGTCCTTGTCCTCGGTCCGGCTTGCCTCTCTCAGAGTCAGTGGGAGCTCATCCTCTGTCTGCAGCTTGGCCTGGCCCAGAACTGAGGCTCCCAGGAGCTCCGCATCGCAGCAGCCGCGGCGGGGGGCCGCTCCGTGCCGCAGAGCTGGGAGCTCAGCCGCCGCTGGGGAGGGGCGGGGAGCCCAGGAAGGAAGGTAATTGGACCCGCTGATCTCTCTGCTGAGAAAGCCGCTGCCAGTCCCAACTCTGCCGTCTTAGATGCAGGGCTTGATGTATGTGGTGAGCAGCCCTACCGTTTGCCATGAGAGAGGCATGAGACGGAGTTATTGATGGAGGGTTAGGGACAAGAAATAAGCAGAACAGAGAGTCTGAGAGCTAGTGTGAAGGGGAGCGGGGACACAGCCCTGGTCTGGGAGGCAGTGGGAGCTGGGTTCGAATCTTGCCTCTGACACAGACTAGCTGGGGGACCCTGGACTTGCTGAGTCCCGTTTTCCTCTAAATGCTGTGAGTAAACTTGCTGTCCTCTGAGCTCCCTCCCAGTTTTAAATCTCTGCTCCTCCGCTCTATCCCTTCTAGTTCTACTGTCTCCCTATGACCTTGCCCAGTCTGTTGAGCCGAGCTCAGATCATGTGGAGTGACTATGCTGTCTGTCCATCGTTTGTCCTGAATGGGATCTCGGGTACAGGACGGGACAGTGGGGTCTCTGCCTCATTCTCCCGTTCATCTGTTCCTTCTGTCACATAGATATCTGGATGCACTTGCCAGGTTCCAGTGGCACCCAAGTCTTTAGAATGTGAAGGAAGGGTGTTTATGGGGTGAGGGCAAATCTAGGATTTGTGGTAGGCTTGTCGATTAGAGGCTGTAAGAGACAATTCATTGTCAGAGTAGGATGCTGAGGAGGTTGGAGGCAGTAGTGGGGAGAGAGACAGAGAGAAAGAAAGAGACACAGAGACAAAGAGAGACAGAGAGATAGAGACAGGCGGAGGAACATTTGTACTGATGAGATCACAGATACATTTGAGTATCTCAGTGACCTTGAACAACACTTTAACTTCTTAGGGTCTCCATTTTCTCCTCTGCTAGACTAGATGCTTGTTGACCAAGGGCTAAAAAGGGCCTTCAGCTTCATCTACCATTAGTACAACCCGCTCATTTTACAAATGGGGAAACTGAGGCCCAGAAACATCTAGGTGATTTTCTTCATGCCACTCTGGTCCTGAGTGGAAGAGATAGGATTTGAACGTGGGTCCTTTGACTGTAAATTCGTTCTCCCCAATCTGTCCCTTCCCTTGACTTTCAGGATTCTTTCCAGCTCTGTGGCTCTGGTCTATGGTGGGCTGTGTGGTCCCCACACAGATAGGGTGGGGAGGACTCCCGCCTGCTCCACTGAATCTTTGTGGGAGGAAGAGCTACGTGATACAGGTATAAGGAAGATCTCGGGTGTCCGGGAGATAGGTGCTTTGAGATCCTAAAGAGTATGTGCTAAGTCCCTTGGAGGTATTGGTCAGCAGGACGTGCCATTGTCCATAATTTGTTGAGATGCAGAGAAGGCAATGACTGACCACAGGTCACCAAGCCCTTCACCTAGACATCGGGCTCTGATTTCCTGACTCAAGCCTTGTGCCCTGGGCCTGCTGCCGCAGCTGGGTAACACGCCGGCTCTGCAATCCAATCCTACCCCAGGAACTTGCTGCTGGGTAACCTTGGCCAAGACGTTTAACTTCCCTGGGCCTCGGTCTCTTGATTGGCCAGATGGGCAGTGTGGGTCAGGTGGCTATTGCAGCTCTAGGATTGTGTGTTCCCTGGGATCTGAAGAGATAACGCATGTAAAGCATTTCACAAGCCTTCAAGCACTATCGAAATGCTAGCTATGATCATTGTTATCATGATTTCTATCTCCAGGCATCAAAATAGAGTCAGGAAGACCTGGGGTCCAGTCTTGCTTCTGACACATGCTCTGCAACCCCAGGCTGACCATTAGTTTTCAGACATTTCTCTAAGATGCCAAGTTGCAGCGTAGGTGCTGATCTGTCTTAGCAGAAGTAGTTTCCACACTGGGATTACCCTACTGGTGAAATCACAGGTGTGGACAAAAACAAAACAAGGCACCTATAGATAACAGCAAGGTTTGGCCAAGGCACAAGCTTCCTCTTGCTGATAACTCTTCAGCCCCAGCTTAGTGATAGGGACTTCCCTGAAGAGACAGTTCTCTATGCTTGCTCTCACCTATGAGGGAGACAGGGTAAATGTTGTACCGCTTATTTTTTAGATGAGGATTCCAGGCACAGAGAAAAGGGAAATGACTTGGTCAAAGTCACGCAGACAGGAAGTCATAGAGCCCACATGTTTTGCCTTCAAGGCCAGGGCTGTTTGTGCCACATCCCACTGCCTCTGACCCTGTGTTCTCGGCTCTCCCTCGGAGCCCACACACCTATGCTCCCGCTCCCTTTCAGGAAATATCATGTGAAGAGGAAGGAAAACCAGACAACTCTAGTCAAGCTGGCCCGTGTGTTCAACCTTTAAAAGTCCACAGAGGGCTTTCCTCTTAATAAGCTTAAGAGATTGTCTTCCCATTTCACAGATGAGGTAAGTGAGGTTTAGAGAAGGTTCACATAGCAAAGAGGAATTCCATCAAAAAAAGATTGCACAAGTATTTTTGAAATGGCTGCCATGTGCCAGGTAAGGAAATACAAAGGTAGACATTAATCTTGTCTTCAAGGAGTATGCATTCTATTGAAAGGAAAACATATGAAGATAAATGAAGTACATACAAAATAAACACCAGTTTGGCTGCAGCGTGTAAGCTGCCTGGAAAGAGAGATTCGAGCTGGATTGTTGTTCAGCCATTTTTCACTCAAGTCTGACACTTCATGACCCCATTTGGGGTTTTCTTGGCACAGATACTGTGGTGGTTTGCCATTTCCTTCTTCATTTTACAGATGAGGAAACTGAGGCAAGCAGGGCCAAGTGACTTGTTCAAGGTCACACAGCTAGTAAGGGTCTGAGTCCAGATTTGAACTCAGGAAGACAAATCTTTTTGATTCCAGGCCTGAGCTCTATTCGTTACGCCAGATTGTGAAGGGCTTTCAATGCCAAAAAAACAAGTCTCTATTTTTTCCTGGATGTTTCGAACAGGGTGTCCCACAGACTTCTCAAACCCTGCGTGTCTATTTATTGTCTTTCTCCCCACATCACTCCTTCCAAACTCCCTCATTTCTGCCAAGGGGGCTGCCATCTTTTCAGTCTCTCAGATCCACAGCCTCAGCATTAGCTCATTTCTCCTCCTCACCTCACACCTCACATCATTTCTCCCTCCTCATGTCTCTCCTACCTAACTTATCTCTCTGCTACCAGAGATACCGGCCCAGTTCATGCCCTCTTTTTGCACGGACTATTGTAACAGGCTCTTCAATGACCTCCCTACCTCAGGTCTCACCTCTATCCAATCTGTCCTCCACACACAGCCAAAGAGGTCTTCCTGGAGTGAGGATCTGATCAGCTGAGCCCCCGACTTCAAACTCCATTGGTGCCCTATTCTCTCTAGTATCAGTCATAAACCCCTCACTTTGGCATTGAAAGCCCTTAGTAACTTAGCTTCAGCCTAGCTTTCTAGCCTTATTGTACATTGTTGCTCCCCTTCCTATACTGGGGCCTAACTACTTCTTTCTGCCCTTCACACACAGCTCTAACCAGCTTCTCTCAGCCCTGCCCACACTCTGATCCAAAAGGGGAAAAATCCATCTCCCTCCTTTTATGGCAAATAAGTGTTATAAACCATTTGCTGTTTTCTCATTCAAGTGACAGCAAATTTCCTCATTCCCTCAGTGGCTGAAAGTCTTCTGGTGTCCCATGAGTTACGAGTCCAAATTACAAATGCAAAGCTGTTATTTCTAAAAAGAGGAACAGGATACTCAGGTCTAAGTTTACTCCTTTACCCTTGAACATTCTACTCCTGGTATGTTTCCACAACAATACTTTAATGGAGTGCTGTGTTCCATTTTTGCCTTCAGGTCAGGTAGTCAGAGGACAAATCAGAAAAGAATGTGAGAAAATCAGCAAAAAGAGCCTTTGGCCAAGAGGAGCTGAGATCACAAATAGGTGAGACCTAGTGGTAGCTGTTTGAAATCTGAGCAGGAGAAAGGGAAGAAAAAGGAAGAAATGAGAGAGATGCAGAAGATGGCTTTCTACCCAAGACCTTCTTCACAGATAACAGCTTAGGCTGACTTCTTCCTACATTAAGGCTTTGACAGGAATCTGTTAATTATACCACAAATGCGACTGGGCGAGTGAATATGTAACATCGCTATAGTGAAAAAATGCCCAGGTGAAGAGGACTTGGGTACCAAGGGCACCCACATCTGGGTGTGGGAGTGAGGTGTACTTTCTTCTTACGGCCACAGACATCCTTTGAACCTCACCTCACCCTTCTCCACTGGCCCTGCCGCTGTGTGGTATAATTAACAGAGGCCTGGGGCCTGCCTTTCTCCGCTCAAACTCTGGTGGAAAGGCTGGACGACCCCACTTCTCCAGCAACTGTACACTCTCTGTGCTGCTGCTCAGCTCCTTCCTGCGTTGCTTACTCTTCTCCCCCAAATTCCTAGTTATGGCTTTGTGATTACCCTGGAGTTTTGGAGAACAGATTCAAAAGAGCTCAGAGAATGGACAAGTTGGATCCTGTGGCCTAAAATTCTATAGCTTACATTGACCCAGAAAGGATGGGAGACTCTGAAGGCATAAATGAGATCAATTCTCTCTTGTTACAGTCCTCTGCTTTCATTTTCTTCATCTCTTCTTAAAGGTGCCTTCTTCTCACAATTGACTTAATTTTCCTATCTGGAGGCCAAATCTACTAGTGGTGTGGTGAAGTCCCATCTGAGCACTTCAGCCTGTGAACATAAGATGGAAAGAAGCAAGCGGAGAGGAAATTCAGGAAAAGATGGTTAAAGGCTGGAAAGGACCTTGAATCTCAGAATCTCAGAACTGTATGGGACCTTGGAGCCTAGAAACAACTAAATAAGGCACCCCCCTAACATGCACATGTATGAATCAGTGAAAAAGCACCCACCATGTGCCCAGCACTGTGCTAAGTGCTGAGAATACTAATTCAAAAAGCAAGACATTCAATGCCCTCAGGGAGGTGACACTCTAACAGAGAAGACAACATAGAGAGGCAGAGGTGTCCAGAGAAGTCACGGGGATGGTGAGTGGAGTCAGGGAGTGATGGATTGATTAATGGCAGAGTTGACTGGATTATTGTTCCCAGAGCTAGAGGTGGAAAGCAGGGGTTAGAGGATGGGGAGCATGGCAGGAAGGTGACTGGGGAGCACAGTATGGACAACCCCTGACAAGCATTTATTCAGTCTTCACTGGAAGACTTCAAGGGTGGGGGGTCCGCAATACCTCCCAAGGTGGCTATTCACTCTTGAACAGCTCTAGTTTTGGGGGATGGCAAGTTTGCACAGACCTGTTCTCAGCTCCTTCTGTCTCCTCCCAACTTTGTCCCTAGTTCTGACCTCTGGGACCAAAGACAGCAAAGATCTTCCTTCTCTCCAGATGGAGGACTTCAAAGGTAGTGAGACTGATCCTGGCTCTACCTTCAGTCTTCTCTTCTCCAGCACAAATATCCCTGGGTCCTTCAGCTGGTCTTTATGACCTTTACCCTTCTCTGGTTGCTCTTCCTAAACAAGTATCCAGATCTGGTCTAACCAAAGAGAAAAGAACCAAAAAATACATGGGAAACCCATTCTATGGAATTGGAATCTTTTTGTGTTGGAAGTCAGCATTCATGGATTTTTCATGGATGAAAATCATAATAGCTAGCATTTATGTAGGGCCTTATGGATTGCAAAGCATTTTACAAATAGTATCTCATTTTATTCACACCACAAACCTGGAAGGTAGATACAATTATTATTCCCTTTTCATAGATGAGATAATTTAGTCTGGGAGAGGCCCAAGAGATTTTCCCAAGGTCACACACCTACTAAGCGTCTGGTGCAGGGTTTGAATCCAGACTTTCCTGACTCCAAGTTCAATGGCTTTTTGATCCATTGCATCACTTAGATGAGAAAGGTATTGGACAATTAAAAAAACAGTCGAGGTCAGTAATGCTCTTAGAAGGTCATGGTTCCTGATACATAGTGTCCCAGGGTTAAAACTTTGCAGAAGATAACAGGAGAAAAATGACCTTAGTGTGTGTTCTAGGAATGAAATTCAAAATTTATTAAGCAGGTTCAAAGCACAGGAGCACCTGCTGGGATGCAAAGATGGCTGGTGTCTTTAAGGAGGGGTAGACATGGAGAATGAGGCATTTCACCAGGCAATGGCTGCAAGGTCTCTTGGGGCAAAGGGCACCAGTTAGAGAAGCAAACAGTCCTTCCACAGGCCCCCTGGGAAGAGGCAAAAACGTCCCAGGGCTGCGGAGGGCCGGTACCCTTCTCCAGGCCCCTTGTTAATATTCACCAAGGTTGTTGTGACAGCTCCTGGTTTCCCATTTAACTTCCTCCTTGAGGGCATGGGAGACTTTATTGAATAAAATCATTCTTGTTCCAGCGTATCTAGAGAAGTGAGTTCATAGGGGACATGCTTATGATGGTTCATGTTGGGTAAATCATTTACTTCACAGATGGCTTTTATAATAAAGCAGAGTATGTAGTCATTCTCTTAATAAAGATTAGAAAAGCTCTGTGAGGAGGCTAGGCTCTGATTCTGGAACACCTGGCTTCCAGCTAAGCCCCTGAGATCTTGGAAAAGCCACTTAACTTTTCAACGCCCCCAGATGACTTTCTAAGGCTATGAGATGCTGAAAAGTTGTTGACCAGTGAAGGGAGTTTCCACACATGAAAATTCTCTATGCCATAGATCAGGACCAAAGAGGGAAAAGCAGTTTAGTGACTGACCATTTACCTTTCTCCTAGGGGAGTTAGAAATAAAAGTGCAAAGAGAGAGAGAGGCTGTGCAGGTATCTTGGGTCTTGGAACATTTTCCCTTTTCAAAGTCATCTCTCAGAGCAAATGGCAGATGTCTGACCTCCCTGGGCTTCAGGAGATGGTTGGCTGGTCAATCTTATTTTCTGCCTGTTGTCCCATGAAAAGATGCTCAGTCATACGCATAGTCATGAAGCACTGGATTTCTGTGGGGGTTTTTGTTTGTTTTTGTTTGAGACAGGTAGGGTGCTGTGATGAAGATAGCAGAGGCAGAGACCTGGATTTAAATCTCAGCTCTGACACTTACTAGCTGTGAGACCCCTGCAAAAATAAGTTCAGTTCCATGGGCTTCGGTATCCTCCTCTATAAAATGGGGATGATGTTATCTTAGAGAGCCATTAGGAAGAGTGTTTGTAAACCTTCAGTGCCCTATACACAATCATCAAGAGACAGCATCATGTAGTGGCTACAGCACCAGCCTAGGATGCAGGAAATCCTGGGTTCGGCTCCTGCCTCTGACCCCATTGGCAGCATGACTCCAGGCACCTCACTTACCCCTTCTGAGAGCTCTCGAAGGTTCCGAGCTGCTGAGGAGTCATTGGTATGCCTTGTTGGAGAGACAGTTTTTCAGCATCTTGCATGTTGCCCAACATATAGCAGGCATTTAATAAATGCTGCTTGGTTGACAGCTGAGTAGTTAATGGATGGGTCTTTGAAGTATCACCATAAGAGGACTTTGATTGATGCCCATTGCAGTAGATTCTGGGGTAATTCCTTCTTCTCCTTTTCCCATTTGAATAACCAGGGAGAATAACCACCACGAGCACCCCCCGGATTTTCACTTCCATTCAGCTGGCCTCATGGGGCAGAAAGACCTTGGGCAATATGGTGCCCCGGCCTTTCTCCCTCCAATCCTGCCATGAACCCAGAGCTCCTAAAGACCCTCATGTTTCTGGATCTCCCTACATGGATGAAATCACAGGTTCCCTTTGAGGCTTGAATACTCAAGTGGACAGGAGATTCCACAGACTTAGGAGTTCTCTCCAAAGATGCAGATTGCAGCTTATTCATTCCTGCCCATTTTGTGTGAATCTTGTTGATAGGTGCCCAAAAGTTTGCTCCAGGAGGTCCATCCTGGACCCTTCTTGTTCTCTCCTGCCTTTGGCAATGATTTTGCATGTGTGTGTGCACATGTGCATGATTCAGTCTCCAAAGCAGCCTGTCTATAATGTTCTTTTCAGCTGGAGGCCCAAAGATGGATGCTTGTAGAAGCAGGAAGCACAGGAGAGAGAAATAAACAGCTGCCACTGCAGACTTCCAGGTGAGTAACAAACTATTTCTCATGGTGAAGAACCTTAAGATTCCACTTAAATACACTATTTTTTTTTTAGTTTTTTAAAAAACGATGCCTCTCTCCCTTTGCTTGAGTCTTCAATCTTTCCCTGCAATCTCCCTAGGGCAAATCCTCCATCAATAATCTCCCATGTTCCCTTCTCATCAATCCACACTCTCTTCCTTTCTCCAGCTTCCCTTCTCCAGTTCCCAGCTCCCATCCATCCTACTCAAGAAGTCACCTTTATTCTTCCCAGTTATTCAAATGGGAAAAAGAGGAGGAGAAGGAGTTACCCCAGAATCCACTGTAATGGTCGTCAGTGAAAGCCCTCTTACAGTGACACTTCAAAGATCAATCAATTAATTAATCAGCAGTCAATCAACCAGCATTTATTGAGCACCTACTGAATTCTGGGCTGTATGGTAGATCTGGGGATGAAAAGGCAAAAATGAAACAGTCCTTGTCTTCAAGGTGCTTGGGTAATCTTACCCCAACACAGACTAAAATCTCTTCTATCCACAGTAGACAGTTACGTGACAGAAAAATAGCACTCTTTGGGGCTAAGGGGGGCATCAAATAACAGCCCTAGGGTCTGCCTGTGGGCCTGCAGTCAGATCTGTTTAGTTTAGTAGGACCTACTTGAGCTCCTCAGGCCCAGCTTTTGAGACCCCAGAATAGCCTCCATGCCATAGTAGAGAAGTGGAGGAGGACCTTTGTGGACCAGGGAACAAGATGGCTGCTGGGCCATGGGCACAAATGCTTTGGCTCATTAGAGTACAAGCGGCAGTGTCTGGAGAATCACAGAAGCTCAGAACCCAAAGGAACCTCAAAGAACCCATACTCCAATCCAATTTGGACAAGAATCCCTCATTTACCATATCCATATATCTAATCAATTCTCAAATTGTTTCCTCTGTATCTGTCTTTATAACATCTCTTACATATGCCCCCCTCTCCTCTCACAGCCACCACCCTATGTCAGCCCTCATCACTTTTCACCTGGAATATTACAAGAGCCTCTTACTAGTCTCCTTTGACCCAAGTCTCTCCCCACTGTAGCCTTTTCTCCACTCACTGTCAAATAGATCTTCCTAAAGTGTGGACCTAACCATGTCACCCCTCTACAGCATAAACTCCAGTGGCTTCCAATTACCCCTAGGGTTAAATACAAATTTTTCTGTTTGGCATTTGAAGGTCTTCACAGCTGGTTCTGGCCTCTCTTCTAGGCTTCTTCTACATTCCTTGCCTCCAAGCACACTAGAGTCCAGTCAGACTGACCTAGTGCTTTATCCTCACATAGGAGTCTCCATCTGTCTTTTGTACTGGTAGTCCTTCAGCCTTGGAATGTTCCTTCTCTTAGCATTCCCAGCTTCCTTCAAAACTCAGCCCAGATTCCATCTCAGGCAGGAGGCCATGAAGCATCATATGGCTTGCCCACTCAAAATAGTTTTGATTTGAAGTCATAAAGCAGTTGGAGTAGTGATCACCCAGGTTGTCAGTATCAATCCTGCATTTACTTCTTGGCAATTTCCAAACATCCCTACTGTGTCTCCTGTCTGGGGCCAAGCAGAATGAATCTAATCCCACTTCCCCATGACAGCCCTGCGAATGTGTGAAGGCCGCCATCATGCCCCTCTCAAGTCTGTCCAGGACAAGCATCTCCAACTACTCCAACTGTTCCTTTTGCACATGGTTTCGAGGACCTTCTCTAGCCTGGTTAGCTCCCCAGCTTATCAATGTCCTTCTCAAAACACGGTGCTCAGACCTGAACAAAATTCTCTAGATATTGTCTGATCAGGGCTCAGTATAGTAGGATTCTAGATAACCTCAGTTATAAACATTACACCCCTTTTAAGATTCCATTTACTTTCCCGGTTACCACATCACACTGTTGACTTATGTTGAGGTTTCTGTCCACAAAAATTCCCACATGCATACCATTTAGCTACACTTCATCGTGTATTGTGAAGTTGATTTTATGGGTACAGGTAGATTGTAGGGTACTCTTTACCTCTTTTTTTCTCCTTGTCTTTTTTCTCTTTTCCTTATGCATAATTGCCTCCCCCTGTTTCTTCTCATGCTCCAATAGTTTCTCTACATTTTTCTTCTTCTTCCTCCTCAAACCAGTGACTGATAACTCCAGTTATTGCATCATAGTTAGGGCTGAAAAGGTGACTAGTCCATGTCCCTATATAGGTCTAGTAAGATTGGGAAATAAGTGACATGTCTTCTTAATCCTCTTTCCACCATCTTGGCATCTTCTCTTTCCACTTCCTGCTTTTTTCCCAAGGATCCAGGACCCTCATGATGTCCATTGGATGTCAGATATGGTGGTCCAAACCTACCTTCCAACAAGCCCCCCAAATGTTGGACCTTTCCCTCCTCTCATTCTGCATCAACACTTTCCTGTCCTCTGTTTCATCCGTTTAGGACCTAGTAATCCATGCTGATGATTTAATTCATCTTCTATTCAGCAAAGTCTATATTTTCACAAAGGCCTCCTGGGGTTATTGCTTTCATCTAAAATGGAATGATATCAATGATAGGTGTAGAAATTACAGAGAGGCATATTTAGGATTGATGTTGAGAAAATCTTCCAAAGTACAATAGCTCTGCCAAAGTGGAATGGGCTGCCCTGGGAGATGGCAAGGCCCCCTCCAATAGAGGTCTTCATGTGGACATTAGATGATCAAGGTCACAATACTGTAGAATGGGGTTTTGATCAGGTACAAGTTAAACTAAATGGCTTCTGGGATCCCTTCCAAACTCTGAAATTCTGTGATTTCATTTTGTCAGAAGGAATATTTTAGGGAAAGTAGAACTTTGAGGCACAGATTATTTCCTAACATTTGATAACCATCTCTTCTTCGTTCATGTAGGAGAGGCTCCATGCCTTGAGAGACTTTTTCCCTTAATAGGCGTATCTATAACGATGAAATCTCAATGTCTAATTTCCTATGAAAATTATGGGAGATTATGTCATGTACTGTGTGTCTATTGCCCATCCCCCAATAGAATATAAGTTCCTTGAGGACAGGGACTGTTTTGTTTGACTTTGTGTATCGAACAATGCCTGGCAAATAGTTAGGTACCAATAAAGGCTTGTTAATTGACTGATTGCTCCATGAAGGGGTACTGAATGTTGGGCTCCTGAGGCAGTACTCAAAATTAATCACCCTCCTCTTTAGGAAGGAAATGACAAAGCACGTCTGAGTCAACTACCTTTGAAAGTATGGTAAATGTTAAAAATATGGGAAGTGCTGCCTGGGGACCAATCTCCCAAAGGACTATCATTCCAGTCTTGCTGAAGCATGAGTATTAAACAACTAACAGCTAGAGAGGATAAGGATGGTTCTCTGTTAAGAAACGCTATGAAGCCCAACTAGGCCAGTAAAAAAATATGAATAAGGTAACTTTTGCTTGGGTCCCACCTCCTGCCCCTTCCTCACTCTCCCTCAAATGCTCTCTTTCTGAGAATCACAAAATTTCTGAAATCAATTCTAGGCCAACCCATCACTGAACACTAGGTCAAAGGACTTAGGGTAGGAACTGGCTTTGGATATTATTCACTGTTACCTAAGGCCCTTTCAATCTATAGATGAAGAAACTGAGGACCAGGAAGGTGAAGTAATTTGATAAGATCATAGGTTTTCTGAAAGGACCTCACAGGCCATCTAGTCCAACCCCCTTATTTTACAGATGAGGAAACTGAGGCCACAGGATGGTTTACCCAAGGTCATCCAGATTTGGACTCAGTTCATCTGATTCCAAATCCAATACTCTTTCCAATATACCATCCATATGACTTGTTCTGGGTCACACAAGGATGTAACACATTCAGGTTTGGAAGTAATGTCTCTGGACCATAAATCCAGGGGTCTTTCCATTCTATCACTTTGCTTCCTCTCCCCATTCCTCTAACAAGGTGGTCATCTAGACTCCCTCTGAATAGACTCTCTCTGAAGACCTCCAGTTATGGAGAGCTCAGTGTCTACTTTGGCAATCCATTCCAATTTGAGACAGCTGTTTCCTTGGCATCAAGCCTCGGTTTCTCTCTCTTTAGCAGCCACCCTAAATGTGCCCTCTGGGAGAGACAAACAGATAAATGTCTAATGCTTCTTCTATAGAGCAGAGCTCCACAGTCAAAACCTTGTCCTGAGGCCTTCAATTACCCTGACCTAGAATAGAGTTCTCCCTCTCTCATTTGCTCTTTGTTCCCCATCAGAGCCCTACCTAGGGGTTGCTTGTGATGTGCATACAAGGGAACTCCTGACACCAGTCACGCAATACAGGCCATTAATTAGGCTTTGGGAGTTTTGCAAATTCCACTTGAGATCCCCACTACTGAGATTACTCAACATTGTCATTCACCCAGATTTGCTGACTGAATGACTCTGAATGAGTCAACTGCCTGCCTGCAGAGGATAATATTTTGCCACCGTGGAGGATATTCAAAAGCTGCATGAGAGCTGACTCTAGCTCTGGATAAGGGTGGCAGCCAGCCTGCTACATAGCCAGTGATTAAGATCTAGGATCAAACTACTAAACACCAATTCCTTGGTGGGGCACTGTATGGGGGCAGATTCATACAGAAGCAAGGCATCATGATGAGGGCACACAGGCAGCATAGAGGGTTGGAGAAAGGCCTTCTGTTGAGAACATTTGAGGCTTGGGAAGATGTGGAGCCTGGGACAAAGAAGACTTGGAGGTAAGAAGGAACATTAAAGATGCCGGCCAGTATTTGAAAGTCTGTCAATCCATGAGAGATTAGATTTATTCTGTTTGACCCTGAGGGAAGCATGAGGAGTAAGGAATGCAAGTTATGGAGAGAATGGAGAGAAGGGCTTGGGCTGAATGTCAAGAACAGCCTCCTCCCCTTTAGAACTCTGTAAATGTGGAATGGGCTGTCTCAGGAGGTGACAGGCACCATGTGTTGGGGGATCTTGTTAGAATAGAGTCTGCACAAGATGCCTGTGGAGACTGTTCCA